CATATGAGCTAATTTGCTTTCAGCGTCTTGCGTGTGTAGTGTGAGAAAATAAATTGTAAAAGTTGCGTGCGATTATATTTCATTTGAGTGATCTACTAGTACCGGATTTTAATTTAAGTGTATCTCGTGTGTACCACCAATATGCTTCCACAATCCAACAACGTACGTGGTTTGGTGTCGACTAATTAACCGAAGAGTCGAGATTATTGTATGGATTTTGCCCAATTAACAGTAATTTGTATCTCCATTGGTATTGATGGAGAAATTGTCTTTTTGACCTATATTTTTCAGCATTTCAGAACAACGTACACGTGAAATATACCTTGCACATGTGTTTCAAAGCGCGAGACTATCTGCATTCGAAGGGGCTATATAATTGAAGACATCCCTATTTTTGGTTTTCATCGTCAGAAGTGACCGACTCGGCTTACAGTTCGTCAGTCAATCAGAGCTGGAAGCATTTCTCGATGCAATTCTCTGATCTCGAGGGAATGCAATTGTTGTAACAGCGAAATTCTGCTTCTAAATCCAGGAAATCCGAATAGTTTTTCGAAGATTCCGCACAGTTCTCGCCACCCGAGCAACCGTTCGGGATGCCAAGAGCCGCCAATGCTATCAAAGACGGGATACAGCCGATCAGCATCAGTACTGCAGCTTGTTTATAAAGCATTGCAACCACCCGCAATATAATGTTAAAGCCAGAACATATAACATACCAACGAATGGGGTTACGAACTACTAATATAATGTTGAATCATACCTGTGCAGTTCTACTTCTTCTCTATTCTCGCAGGTTTGTAATGAGGTTACGAACTACTGATATAAACTCTGGCAAGATTTTGGAATCTTGGAGAGTTTCTCTCTGAAGAGGTTTCTAATAAAGTGAAGTCTGAAATTGAATGCTCATTATTGGTAATTGATGCATCCGATGTTAAAACTGTCCAGAATTTATAGCAGAAAACACATACATGATTAAAAGGAAAATTTGTCTAAAAAGTCATCAACCTATTGCACTTTGGTCAGTTCTAAACATTTCAACTTTGCCAATTGAATTCTAAATCTTCTAATAATTTACCAATTTAGTTATTCCGATCAATTTTGACAAAAAATCGCTAACCTGGATGCTAGTCGTTCTACATGGCACCGCCAGTATTGATATGGATATTTTTTATAATTTTTTAAAAATTTTATTTTTTGTAATTTTTATTTTCTTCTCTTTTTTTATTTTGCTTTTTTTCATGTGCCAATGAGGGTCACTGGTGACCCTCGCCAGCCGCAAAGGTCTCACCCAAATTGGGCGAGGGCTGCCTTGGCCACTACCGGCGATGTCCCACGGCGGATCCGTCGGAATGCCCCGAGCCTTCCGCCCCCGGAGACTTCAAGTTCTACCTCAAAGATCTCGTCCCCATGCTCCCGGTTGGCGATCGCTTCTCCGACGAGAAAATCGTCTCCCTCCAGCTCCTTGTCGCATGAAGCGCCCTCTGCGGTCAGCCTCTAGTCGCCGGAGAACAACTCCGAGCGTAGGCGGAGGATCAAAATGAACTCAAATCACTGGAAGGAGCTCCTCTACCTCAAGAAGATCGACCAGAATCAGAACCCTAAGCGCGCTGAGTCGACTCAGAAAAACACCCAACCTTCGTCCAGATCAGTGATGCATTTTCTCCATCATAGCTCCAAATCTACCTCTGACGCCTCAAACCTGAGCTTCCCGCTGCTCAGAGAATCTTCCGATGGCGAGTCCATCTCGATCTCTTCGCGTCGCTCAGTGTCCTCTTCGCCAGATCTGGCAAAGGTGCGAACGCCCTCACCCGCGGCCGGCGAGGGCACGATGGCCTTGCCCAAAGGCCTTCGCAACACCACCGGCAGCGGCCAAGGCAGCCCTTGCCCAGTCTAGGCAAGACTTTTGCGGCCGGCAAGGGAAAAAAACTAAAGAAATAAAGGAAAATAAAAATAAAAAAAAATTATAAAAAAAAATGTCCACATCAGAATCAATGGTACCACGTAAGACTCGCGTCCACGTCAATAATTTCCGGTTAAAATTGGCAAGATGAACTAAATTGACAAATTGTCAAAAAAGTTGAAGACTGAATTAGCCAAAGTGAAATATATTTAAGACTTTTTGGATAATTTTTCTCATTTAAAACACGTTTCTTCAATTCCAATTGGGTTTGAATTAACACTTTGGTGAATATGCCGTTTATTTTCTACCAAAAGTATATTCAGTACCTTCTTATTACTGACGTCTTAGTGCATGATTTTAACAAATTAGCAATTTCTTAAGATTTTGGTAACTACTACAACAAAAATATTTTTCATTGACTAATTTTTCTACACAATATAAGCACTCATTTTTCGGAAAATGTTTTCCAAATTACTCATTTTCCACGAAACGAACGCACCCTAAAATTAAAAGCAAACGCAGATTGGTACATACGATCGTGATTTGCAGCAAGGGTTTTGTGCTTCTTCACTAACATCGAGCCTGATTTATGTTAGGTATCGGTTGATAGTAAAAAGATGAAGGAACATTTCAGAACAACTTAAACGTGAACAAAGATTCCAATAAAAATGGGAAATACACTTGGTTTACGTCATCGGAAGTAACCGATTAGGTTTACAGTTCGTCGGTCAGCCGAGGCCTGAGCATTTTGAGAAGCAATTCCCCGATCCCGACTGCTTGCAATGTTGTAAACAGCGATAATCTCCATCCGTTTCTGGGAATCCCGAATAGTATTTCGAAGCTTCGGCGCAATTCTCGTCGTCCGAGCAACCGTTCGGGGCACCAAGAGCTACCAGCACCATGGAAGACACGATACATCCGATCAGCATCAGTGCTGTAGCTTGTTTATAATCCATTGTGAGCACCTGCAGTACAATGTTAAAGCCAGAACATGTAACGACATACCGACGATGCTAGATCAGATTTGTCATCGTCAAATGAAGCGTGCGCGTGAGGGTTTAAGCTGATCTCTTCTCTGGTAAATGAAGGAGGAGCTTAGATTTCGATTGATCATGTTGACATAATTCTAAGTATGATTGTGTTCATTACATGTGCAGAAATGCTGAATCATACCTGTGCAGTCCTACTTCTTGCTCTCTATTCTTGCAGGTTTGTGATGGGGTTGCGAACTACTGATATATACTCTGGCAATGCGGTGTGAAGATTTTGGAATCATGGAGAGTTTCTGTCAAGACGTTTCTTAATCAGCTGAAGTCTGAAAATGAATGCTCATTATTGGTAATTGATTCATCCGATGTTAAAACTGTCCAGAATCTACAGCACAACATACAAACATAATTAAAACGCGTCTCTTCAATTCCAATCGTGTTTGAATTAACACGAGATAATTGTCCAAAAAGTCATAAACCTATTGTTCTTTTGTCAATTCAGTCCTAAACTTTTTAATTTTATCAATTGAGTCCTAAATATTTTCACGTTTTGCCAATTGAGTCTATCCGATAAATTTTGGCTGGAAATTACTGACGTTGATGTCGGCTGTCCAATGTGGCATTGTCGGTACTGACATGTACGGTTTTTTAAGAATATTTTATTTTTTCGAATTTTTTTAGTTATATTTTTTTTTTCTTTCTCTTTCTTTTTTTTTTTCCTTCGCTTCTTCCTTTAACCGATCGTCAGGCCTCGGCGATCAGCCAGAGACAAAGGCCAGCAAGGGTGAGCTTCGCCAGACCTCCTAACCTCTGGCAAAGCAAGTTTAAGCCTCACCTAGCCATGACGAGGCCATCTTCCCCAGCAACGGAGAAACTGATTTCGCGCAATTATTAATTTTGACATACAAAACTTATGATTCACAGTTTGATCACCAACTTTACATTCTAAACATATAAATCAGGTCCATCTGCCCAATGTGCGAGTAAGCAAACCACTCATTTGATATGCAACACCTGTATCCATATCATATTCACAGAGGCACCTAAAGTTTTCAGATATGAAATTCATGTCTAAAAATCTATCGTAAACTCCTAAAGTGCGAAATTAAACTAAATTCGCATGAAAGCACAATTTGTCCTAGAAGATGATGTTTACTTCCTTAAGTTATGTATTTATCCATTTGGGCCCAAACTTTATCTAGGATCCGAGCCCATAGTGCTCTCAATTAGCCTGGCCCACCCAATTCTAGAACATTAATCGAGCCCAGTGGCTTATTTGCTCGAACCAGCAAAGGTAAAGGGTTTTTCTTTTTTCTTTTCTTTTTGCCCTACAGATTAAGAGCTTAATTGTTTGTCAAATAGAAGTGCTATTCGTGCAATTACATTTTCGTATAGCTATTAGAACTTTCGATTTGATTAGTACCAATCAAGGTGTACAATTGCCCTATCCAGGTGTCTTGTATAATGTTCGATCAATAGACAAATGTCCGTTGTGATTTTGACCTAAGAGTTCGCATTTATATAAAAGCGCAACCCTTGTGATCATGACCTACGAGTTTGCATGTATAACCCTCTCAAGCACCAAATGTTCATTGCCATTGCTTGACAATCTTAATGCTATGGCTTCTAGTTTTAGGCTTGGTTACATTTGTTTTAAGCATTGGGAAGTTGGTTTGGTTTTTTTCTTTGAGACCAGACAAATGGCATTCATAGAGAGCCGGAGAAGGAATGATAGCGAATTTAATCACTTATTGTTCGATCGAAGGGCATTTGTTTAAACTTTTTAGCAAGACGATTATACAGTTCAATACACATGATTTAGGTCGAAAGTTCAATAGTGTTAATGAATATGTTTAACACACGTTATGAGTCTATCTTCTAGCCTTTTTTAAGTGTTCTCCCTAAGAAATTCTCCAGAGACTTGACCCCAAAGCCTGCCTTGATGAGGCAATTAGATTCCAAAACCACACATTAATTTGTTAGCTTGATGACAACCCAAGAGGATTACTTCCTATAGATTACATAGCCATGCATGTCTTGATAAAAGATGATTAGCATAATACAGCAACAACATGACAGGCTATCAAATTACACCACCCCAGGAAAAGCAGTGCAGACTAAAAAGATTGTATATTACATGTTGCAGCAGATACATTGAGTTTGAGCTAGGGAAGACTGTTGTGACACTCATACAACATCACCGATTGAGGAATGGAAAGGAAAAATACTTTTTTAGACGGAAGAAGCAACCGCTCTCAGCCTCTCACACACAAATACCGTGAACAAAAAATCCAGTAGAATCAAAAGTGACATTGAGATTGTATTGAATTGAGCATCTAGAGTGCTCGGCCTTTGATGATGTCGAAGCTCATTTCGCTCGGGTCCGTGGCTTGCAACTCCACTTGAATGCCATCCAATTCCCTCTTGAACCTGTCCTTGGAGCTGGCGTACACCATCTTACTCCTTATCTTTGCGGTATCGGGTGCCCTACCAACACACATTCAATCAGTGAAGCTCTGTCTCTGTTCAGTTCAGTCTGATCGTTTTCTCATTTTCGCGCAGAGAGAGCTTTTTTTCTATCCTTTTGATTATGTAGACAACGATTCACAAGAAAGCGAACAGATAACATATAAAGCTCAGCACAACTGCAATAGACTGGTCGAACTTTTGGAATTGAGGACCAGCACGAAATATATGCTCGAATTCCCGAAAAAAGTTGAGAAACTGGATGTATACCTTTAACATGCATTTGGAACTATAAGATAAACAGAGGTCACATTGATTGAAAATTTGCATGAGTTTGTGAATGAAATTTGGAACCTCAGACTCAACTTGGAAAGTCAAGAGGAAATAAATCCAAGTGGAAAATTCTGGCACGCCACGCGTATACGATCGTTTCGAATGAGGAAGTGCAGATCTTCCGTAAGCAACAACGCTACATGACTAACTATCATCGTCTTTCTGATACCGAAAGGTACTTAAACCATTAGACTAGTCACATAGATAAAAGCTAGGTCATATCGGTCGAGAGATATAGCGTTACCATGCAATGAAGAAGATCTTGCTTTTCTGGCAATTCTCGTCGGTGATGAAGTCGAAGTCGAATACCGAATAGCGGCACTCATCAGCAGGAAAAGAGGCCGTGAAATCCTCGTAAGTTTCCTCCGGACTCCCAACCTTCTCTACCACCACCTGCTGGTTCTCAATCTTGAAGATGATGAACCGGTAAATCCGCTTCGCTTTTAGCTCCATGAATTTCAGCTTGCACTCGTCATTGACAGCCATTCCAGAAGCCGCATTCGCCTATAATTCATTCATTTTCAAGTCGGTGCAACAAGATGTCAGATGGTCAGGACGATCATAAGATTCAAATTGCCGATGATGAAAATGAGGACAACAGGAGAGGCCGGTCGTTCATGCACGTCCCGATACTCTACACATAATTCTCGATACGAACAATTACAATCACCTTGACCCATTTAATAGAGTTCTACCTAGATCATGCCCATCGACAACAATCACAACCTAGATTATCATGAAGAACAAAAAACGCACGATCATCTTTAACGTGAACCATGATCAAAAGAAACGTCGAAACGGTATCCATATCTTTCTCCGTCCGTTCGTAATCTTCCAAAGTATGAAAAGACTATGCCTTCGGAGAGATCGGAGATGGGCGGAACGTACCATTTTTGCCTTCAACGAGAGAGACAGAAGAAGCTCCCAGCGAGAAGAGAGAAATGGAGGAAGGAGCAAAATATGATGAGAGGAAGAGAATGAGGAGGAGAAGAGGGCGAGAGAGGCCGAGACAGATGAAGGTGATCCTTAATCCCGGGGATTTCTAAAGCCGGTGGAGAGGAGGAATTGGAGGAAAAGGAAGAGGCTGCTAAAAAATGGATCACGCCCCTCCAACGCCAGCGCCAACGACCAAACACTTTGATGTCGCCACGTTCTTGATGATGCCATCTTGCATGGCACGTCTATTTCGTTTCGTCGATGCATAGGATAGATAGATCTAAAGTTCCTTGTTATCTTTCCCCTTGTTCTTTTCTTGTAAATGCAAGTTCCCAAATATAGCAGCAGCAATCTGCCCACTTTCGCTAAAGTTCATGTACTACATGAATGGCATGCCTTGGTCATACCCTTCCATTGACTATTTCGTTCAACCCCTTCAATGCACACGGTTCCGCAATGCATCCTTGCGATCCTCGCAATCAATGATCTCGAATGATAGACAGCAAATGACATCGAGCCAATACGGGAGTCGAGTTCGTGGGGTTGGCTTTAGAGGGAAGCCGAGGTCGCATATGTCATCAAATGTTTTATCGTCGAATAGAGAAAAGGAGAGCGCATGCACCTCACGCATTATAAGCCGCATGACGGAGTCTCTGTATAACTCAAAGTTTCAAATGATGAACCATCAATTCAAGGATTTCCGACTACACGGTACAAGTTCCATTGCAACTACAACATATTGTCGACGGTCGATAAATACTATAGTATTTTTCCTGCATTTCTTTTGGTTCACTTCCGTGAAAGTAGCGATCCCAAACTCACTGTATCCGAGGGTCAAAATTGCTCGAAGGACCACAAATGAAGAAAAGGCCAGCAACGCTGTAGTCCTAGCTATCTCTCATAAATCGACAATGATTACCCAACAAAATTAACGACTTTTGTACTCTGTTTTCTCTTGGCTTTTACATGACCTTCTTTTGAGCCAGAAGTATCAGCTACACATGCACTAGACTTGTCTTTCTTAGCGGGTGTTTCGTCCACCATAAAGTCATCATCAAGATCGTCCCCGCTAAAGAATTTGGTAACTTGGGGTCTCGGCGCCTCTTCTGTTTCAGCTACTGGAGACAAGACAAAGAGACAGCATCAGAAAAAAACCTTTAAGTCGTACAATGCTATATAAGCAATTTAACTTGTCAACGAGAAGTAACATTTGAGGACATTAAGCAGGGAAGCATTCAAAAGAAACGGCAGAAATTACAGAACAAGTACCAAAATACTATATCTGTGCCACTCTACCTTTAACCCATGTGAACATTCTATGGAAAGCTTGCGCTGGTCAAACAGAGGATTTTACTTTACAAGCAAAGAATCAGATCCACATAAGAATTAAGGCTGTCAAACCGAAGTCACTTTAAGATGGCCGAATTGACATCCTGAACTTCAAATATCATGTTAATAGCCAAGCCCCAATTCCAATATGCATTCCAAATGTTAGCCACCAATAAGGCAATAGCCCATCAAGGCAAACTCAGAAGCACCGGACTTGCTGATATAAAGAGAACTCTTGCCAATTATTTCATACAGTACCAGCAATTACAATGACAAAGAAGTCAGTATGACAATTTTCTGTATCCAAACTGCAATGGGGTAGATTGAATAAGTGAACGAGATCATAGGAGAAATATGATTATCTTAAAACAAGGATCTAGCAATAAGACACCAAGAGGACAGGTCTAACGTTCTTTATGGAGGAATCACTATGAAGATCCAGTGTGATTTATCTATTCATGACAAGAGTAAGTCCATGATCCAGAACCATAAGAATCACAAAATAGCTAAAGTAACAAACCCGTCTTCATCTACCTGCCAGGCCTACATAGATCTTCTCTTTCCTTCCTACACCAAGGCCAGGCTGCTCAGTTCAAGAATAAGAGAAAATTGTCTGGATACACTGAAGTCATTTTTCTCCATTCTTTCACGCTTAAGCAGCCGATCATCTCACCCAACCGTTCTTTACACATGCTGGAGGAGTTAATGTCCAAAGGTTGTGGAGGCTCAAGATATTAGCAAATTGTTACACTGTTTTAATCTCTAATACTTAAGTTTATCTGGTTTATCCTCGGTTCCTAATGGCTGAGGAACATTCCATTGAAAAATAATAAGGGTTGTGGGAAGAATTTGTACCATCGGCTGCAATATTTATCCTCAAAATGCAAATAGACTTTGCCACAGAACACCATAAGAATTAAGAATCCTTCAGGCCAACACAAGTTTAAGATATAGAGAAGATGACTCACGTCTACCGCCAATTCCGGAACCTCTTTTGCCTTTTTCAGGGCAATCCTTGGCCAAATGTGTCACACCACCACAGATTTTGCAGCAACCACCCTACAGAAGAGCAAGTGAGATGTCTCCTATTCATGAGAGTATTGCAATGAGTATAGACAAATGTAGACCAAAGCACGTATCGATTTGTATAAAAGAAGATTTAGCAAAAACCCATTTTTCTTTTAACTTCTACCGATGCCATTTACAGTAAACAAAACAATGTACCTTTGGATAAATTCCATGAGCATTTTGAGGGCAGTTTTTGCTCAAGTGACCCTGCTCTTTACAAATAAAGCAGCTGGCGAACTTAGTTCCTCCTGTCACCACATAGGAGAGTAAATGATCGTGGGAAACATCATCATGACGTAAAAGAAAACACCACAGTAGCAGAACAATGGATGGAAGTTAATATGAGCAGACACGTTTAAGTGATTCTTCTCTAGATGATAAAAAAAGCCGATCCAGCACATCACCCAAAATTAGGCTTATGTAAGTAAACTTAAGTTTAACCTTTTGAGAAGAGGATTTAAGAAGCAAGTTCAGAATGACACGAATTAAAAGATAGACCGATAAGAAAAGTAAAATGCTAGTCTACAATATACAGAGAAAAAGGAGGGAAAATGACCTCTGCATTAGTGGACATCCAAATTATATGGCTCGCAATATGTAATTCATTATCAGTAAATATCAAAATAGAATGACAATTTTTATTTTTCAGTACAATCTCATAAGATCAAATTACCGTCTTTAAGGGGTTGAGGACAGTTTGCAAGAGAATGCCCCGTATCCCCGCAATTATAACACAACTTCCTGTCAACAGACTCGTCATTCTTCTCCGGACAGCTTTTGAGACTATGGCCGCGCCGACGGCAAAGCAAACATATCTGCAGACATCAAACAGCATAAAACCCAAGAGTCAGACAACCTAAGCAACACCACCAAGAAACTGAAGGAAGTAAAATTCTGGACCCTGGGTATTCAAATGCACACGCCTGGATTGATTGGACGCTCATCAACACCCAAAAAAAACCAAAAAAAAAAAAAAAATCAAGAAACCACCTGAGCAAAGGTTCATGGACCGGCACACTGTTTCTCAAGCAACCTCCACATGAGTCAGACAAGGAAATGACTCTCATATAAACCCAAGAATCCCCAATGCTAAAATGCTATCAAGAAGTTAGGATAGCCAATTCGGTCCAAGGCCCAAAGAACAAGAAAGAACGAACCTTATTCTTCTCCCACTGAGCTTTCTCAGGGCAGAGCTTGGCAATATGGTCCTGACCTTTGCAGATGAAACAGCCCTCGCCAGGCATCAATCCGGGAACTCTAAGCGGGTGTCTTTTGAGGGTTTTCTTGGTGGGTCTTCTGGGGCCATCGGAATCCGACTTCTTGCGCTTGAATTTGTCCAGCTTCTTCTTCTTCTTCTTCTTGGTCGGGTCCTTGGGTGGGGCTGGCTCCGGTTCGGGGAACAGCTCGGGGTGTGCTTCTTTGAATCGCTTGCGAGCGAGCCTCTGCCTTTGGCTCACCATCTCGCGAGGCTCGGCGCCGGCGTGGTTTGGTTTCGCCTTGGAGCTAGCAGAGGTGGCGCGGTCTCGTACCGGCGGATGTTTTAGGGTTCTTCGAGTGGGGTGTATTGGGCCGACGGCGATATTTTCTTTTTCAGTCTTTATTTGGAATTTTCAATTTTTTTGTTATATTTCTTTTTTGGGTATGAAATTGTTATTCTTCTTTTTTTTTTTATGACGTGTAAAATTTTGGAACTGTTTTGTTATTGCGAGCAACAAATTTTTGTAAAGAAAGGAAAGATTGAATTTCAATAATAAATGTAACGAATATCCAAAGTGCAATTGAATCTGAAAATTTCTATATCAGAAAATTAAATGATGAAATTTATAACAATTTTATGTGATCAAGTAATTTCATTATATCTGTTTATTCAAGTTACGGGGAAAAATCGAGATGGAATTGTCGTGTATTTTTAAAGAGATGCTAGATAGGTCTTGAAGCTTTATTGAGTTGGTGGAACAACACCAATTTTGTGTTTCCAGTCAACAAGTTTGAGATATCAAGTTTCCTTGCCGGTAGATGCGATAATGATCTTTTGATGTCATATCACAAATCATGTAATTTCAAATGAATCTTAATTCTAGTAAAGCTGGTTTTATAGAACATCTTTAAAGATGTTAGCATGATGGTCTCTTATTTTCAGGGGATAACGAAGACCTCCGGATTGCACATTCTAAGTCGTGGAATTCGGCAATTCGGCACTAACTTTTGAGCAATGGCCGAAGATAGCAATCTTGCTACAACATTTATCAGATACTTTCGTTAAAAATGTCTGATACAAAACAAAAACATGTAAAACCCTTACTACATGAAGCTTTAGCTTCCTTCCTGTAGGGATCTTTGCTACTTGCTTGGTTCTACTAGGTGGGCTCTACAGATGTGCTCCTTATTTTAACGCATCGGTGTCCGTACGTCCTACACCCGTGATCTTCTAGGTATATTATCTTCCCTGTGAAAAGGGCATACCATGTTATTTTAATGACCCTAGAGTATTGGGTTGAAGTTTTTAAAGGCGTGCTCGGGTCCAAAACTCCACATAAATAGCAGCTTTCAAAAAATTTCTAGCTAGGATCCCTTCCTTGTTTTTCATTTAAGGCTAAAGCCACACGGCCCTTAATCTCCTTCTGCAATCGGAGAAACCGGTCGTCCTGACGTCAAAATCAATTGCTTTTTGAGATCAACGGACCGTCCTCTCTTATTTTGTTTTTCTCTTTTTCAAAATTGGAAGGTCGACTTTAGGTTGACGGGCCAAAATTGATTAGAAGTACCACCCAAGTGCAACATTTGAAAAGGGTATTTCCATGGTAATCTGTCAACTTCCAATGCATTCGTCAACTTTCAGCCTTAAGCTGACCTGTTGATGACCAATTTTAAATTGAGCCACTTGAGCGTTGCAGTTGGGTAAAGTTGTGGCTACACCAACTTAGATCTCGCGTGTTGCGGGCTGCAACCACGATCCATTTTCACAGACCTAATTCCAAATAAGCAGGGCTCCACGTGCCTGGGTTGCTGTGACTTCAATGTCATCAGGGCAAGCACGCTACTTCGAAAATTCTAATGATGTGAATTAAATCTCGATATCCAACCCATCAGTTTCTCCGAATTATGTCTACTACACTAGCACATTACGTTGTGTCGAGCAAACATGTATCGTGCTTCATTAGCCGAAGAATGAAACTAGCAAATCTCTTGGGCGATCAATAGTTCTTGACCTCATTTATAGACATAAAATGAAAAAAAAAGGTGACCTCAAAATTGCTGCTTCTGGCAGCACCAGGTTGGGATGGTCTAATGGACTTTTTGGTGCCGATGAGACCGTCGTTTCTCTTTAGAGTCTCTTCACTTGTCCTTTAAGTTGCTTCCAAAGCTTCCAATTGCGTCCGCATTGGTAACAGTACGTTGCACAGTCGCTTCCAACTGATGCAGTTCAGCTTATTTTCCTTTATTGCAGAAAGCCCGCTCCTATTGTCCTGTTTTGCTTACACGACGCAAATAATAATCGATGTCGAACTATACTCAGTCTTCCATTGTTTTGAAAAGTAGGTTCCGGGTTTGAGTCGGCTATTTCGTACGATCGAGTCCCAATCGATCTTTCCCGAGCTGGAAAAGCACATTGACATGCGTTTGGATTCAAATAACCTGAGAAATCCTTTCATTAGAACATGTCTGATTGTCTTATGTTTGACAACATCTTTACATCACAATTGTTGAAATCATAGATTCTCTTCAAGTTTATATAGTTGCAATGACGATGATCCTTCAGGTTGTTGGCATCTGGAGGCTTTCATGAGATTTTGGGAGGTGCTTGCTTTGCTTTAGCATGAAGGGTCGATCACCCTTTTGTCAGAGCAGTGATGGGGGTGGTGTGCGAAGTGGGAGGGAGCTTTCTTGATGCCCACTGCGCAACTTTCTTTTTCTATGGATGAATGAATCGAATGGGGTGAATCGGAGGAAGACTTGTTCTTTGGGTTTCCATCGTTGGCCCACTTTGCTCGAGTGTTATCTGCAAAAAGATGGAGTGAATCGTACGCTGAAATGGCGTGTGCACCCTCAGCTCTTGACTCAGGATCTTGCAAAAATGATATAAATAGTTCTTGGATAATGACATGATGTTTAATGCGGTCCCTGAACTTTAGCCTAATGTACAATATCATTTATAAACTTTTAATTTATTCGATGTAATTCTTAAACCTTTGGTACATATTCAATTCGATTCATAGTTATCCCTAATCCAAGGCATATTAATATGTCGTACCTTTCCTGTTCGAATCAGGTTTAAAACCAAACCTCCCCTCCTTAGGAGGATAGATGGAGCGATTCAGATGAGATCCAATGTAGATCCAACTTTCTATTTACTTGTGGGATCCTTAAATTAATGGAATTATAACATTGGTTATTTTCATATAATTTAAGAACTAGTTCAAATAAATTCCAAAAGTTCAGGGACCATACTAAACTTGCACATTAAATTATAATGCAAGAATCACGTTGAATAAATTGAAAATTTGAGGATCACGTTACTCAGTGAACCAAAATTCTAGGATCACCTGTCATTATCCCTAGGGCCTTCAATAATTCTTGAATGTCAATTTTCATCGGTGGCCCACTTTTGCTCAAGTGTTTCCTTGTATGTTGTCACAATTATTATTAATATTATCAGCGTTATTATTATTATACTGCCAGTTAGATTATTATGGTAATCTCAATTATTCTTTAATTTGTCTCAACACCCTTTCCACTTTTCAGGTTCGATTCGGCTCGGCACATGCGCCCTGCGACCCCACTCGCCGGAGCGCGTGCCGTCCACCCGCCGGAGCAACGCGCGTGGTCCGAACCCCCCGCGACCCTCCCCTCGCAATTCCCAAGGAGCGAGGCGCAGCAACAGTCCTCGTTTTATCATTTCTTTTTTCAAATTTCGAATTCCCACTCAAACCAAACGGCCGTCAAATCCCTAACGGCGCCCACCCCCTTCCGTCTCCTTCTTCCTATATAACGTAACGCCCTTCCTTTCTCAGGCCCCCATACTCTCTCTGCAGCAGAAGAAGAAACACACACAAAGCTCAGGTTGCTTTCTCTCACTACAGTCCCGAACCTCCGCCTCACTCTTTCTCTCTCTTCTCGAAGATGCGTGAGATCCTGCACATCCAGGGCGGCCAGTGCGGCAACCAGATCGGCGCCAAGTTCTGGGAGGTGGTCTGCGCCGAGCACGGCATCGACTCCACCGGCCGGTACCAGGGGGACAACGACCTGCAGCTCGAGCGCGTCAATGTCTACTACAACGAGGCGAGCTGCGGCCGCTTCGTCCCCCGCGCCGTCCTCATGGATCTGGAGCCCGGCACCATGGACAGCGTCAGATCTGGGCCGTACGGCCAGATCTTCCGCCCGGACAACTTCGTGTTCGGCCAGTCCGGCGCCGGCAACAACTGGGCCAAGGGCCACTACACCGAGGGCGCCGAGCTGATCGACTCCGTGCTCGACGTCGTGAGGAAGGAGGCTGAGAACTGCGACTGCTTGCAAGGTAATGGTGGTGCTCGGTCTGGTCTCCGCTGTTCATCGGAGAAGTTTTGCTTTCGGTTCGGTGGATGCTCTGTTGAGCTCTCCGTGGGAACTAGGTTTTGATTCGGCTTAGGCATTGTTCGCGGTTCATGCCTTGTCCTCTAGCTCTGTTTGTTTTTTCTCGATCTGCTACTTTTGAAACGCGTCTCGTGCGTGTCGATTCGCAGAGTCAGTGGTTTAGTGTGTAGATTTGTGTGCGATGGACGGGTTTCCTGCTTATGGTCGGTTGCTGTGAAGGTAGTAAGCAATTTTCGGCGCTGATTGCTTCCGACCTGTGCGTTCCGTTTGTTGAAATCACTTTCTTGAAGCATTTCTGGCCGTTCAATTCTGTTTCACCTGCTGATTTATCGACCTGAAGGGAGTGTGTTGGAGATTTATCCGTTAAAATGGAGCCGTCGTGTAGTTTTTGTTTGCGATCTGCTGATTTTAGAATGTGTCTCGGGCGTGAGTTACTCGTGAGTGGTTACTGTGCGCTGCGCATGAGTCGGTAAGTGTTTCTAGCTGCAAAATTTCCAACGGTTTTGTCAATGATACTGCCCTTTGGAAGTCGTTTGGATTCGATTACAGTGTTTCAGTGGCCCTCTTGCACTATCATTATCAGTTGTGAGTTATCTGCTAGATCTTCGTTTGACATTGGTCAGTTTGAGTTCATTATCATTTGCTAGACTTCATCAATTTGCCTTGATGCCTGTTGATTTTACTCGGTGCTGTCCCCATTTTTGTTTGAAGAGAAAGAATTCTCATTGAAACCGTTTACATTTTCAGTATAATCAATCTTGAATGCTTGATCGTTAGTGCGAGCTGTATTGCTTTTTGGTGCTGTAAAAATTAGTGCTTTTGTATGTGGAGACATTGCTTGTTGCCCTCGCTCGTAATGGTTCTACTTACTTGCAAGTTTAAGTGGGCAGCTGCCATAAGGTAGAATGCATTTCTAATTGGAAAGTTCAGAGGTTAAGCAATTGTGTGGGAGCATGTCTGGACTTATTTTCCGTCATGTGGTTACAACATTAGAATGCTTTAATGTCAGGCTTTCTATCTCAGATGTGACTCGTATGCTTCATCAGTTCAACCCTTTTTAACTTGAGCTGCATTCTTTTATGATGCTTTAGAGAGTGCTTTTTGTGTTTGCCGACATTGCTTGTTGCACTTCCTCATTTGAGTGCTAGAGATGGTTACCGATTTCTTCCCCCCTATTAAGCTGCTATTCTGTTTTGCTTAAGTGACTGCTTGTTTGTTATAAATGAAGCTGAATCCTTGTTTGTTTATTGATTTCAGGTTTCCAGGTTTGCCACTCTCTGGGTGGTGGAACTGGATCTGGCATGGGAACACTCCTCATCTCTAAGATCCGTGAAGAATATCCTGATAGAATGATGCTTACTTTCTCTGTGTTCCCTTCCCCTAAGGTGTCCGACACCGTCGTTGAACCCTACAATGCAACTCTTTCTGTTCATCAGCTTGTTGAGAATGCAGATGAATGCATGGTTTTGGACAATGAGGCACTCTATGATATTTGCTTCCGGACTTTGAAGCTCACTACGCCTAGCTGTAAGTATCTCCTTTTGGCTGTGCTAGAGAAGGCCTTTTTGTTTTTTAGCTATTGGACCAAATTGCAATTGTTTAGTTGTCCAGTCTAGATTAATGCAAAATCCAATTGCATATCTTCTTTAGTTCAGATTCTGAAGTTTTTGGACTTCAGAATGAGAACAGGCACTACCTAATCTATTTGACTGCATATAACGGCCGGAATTTCAATACTTCTTTTTCTTCACTCTCCTAGCAATTTCTGTTGTTATATCCCTGTAGTAAAGTGCACTTTAGTGCTATTATCTATTTGTTTTCTGTTTATTAATCTCAGGAATATGTGATCCCATGTGGAGGTTTTCTTGGAAGTAGTTCCATTCTGACTATTTATGATAAGTTTATCATAGCTATGATCTGTTGGTTCAGAATATTCCTTTTTATATACTTATCCAGTGGTTGCTTGGAACCCCACATGCTGAGACCTGGATCTGGCATGTTAAATGAGATACCTTGGATCACTTAGAAGTCAAGCCTTTCCACATGTGCTTTGTCAGTCTGTTACCTTTGGGCCATAGCATCCAGTTGTCTCTGGCGGATGTTTTTTCCCAACATGCTGTGGGCAGTTGGACCCCATATCTTAATACTGTCGCTCTCAAGTTCTTGATTGTGGGTCATATAGTATCTTTTGGCTAGTACCTTATTAAGAGTTCAGTAGTTTGATTTAATCAACTGGTTAAATACATCTTTGACTTAATTCTGCTGAGACGTTTGATCTCCATTGTTCTCATTTCAGTTGGAGACTTGAATCACCTCATATCTGCGACCATGAGTGGAGTCACATGCTGCTTGCGTTTCCCTGGCCAACTCAACTCTGACCTCCGCAAGCTTGCAGTCAACCTCATCCCATTCCCTCGTTTGCACTTCTTCATGGTTGGGTTTGCTCCGCTCACATCTCGTGGGTCCCAACAATACCGAGCCCTCACTGTTCCTGAGCTCACTCAGCAAATGTGGGACGCGAAAAACATGATGTGTGCTGCAGATCCACGCCATGGCCGTTATCTCACTGCCTCAGCGATGTTCCGTGGCAAGATGAGCACCAAGGAAGTAGACGAGCAGATGATTAATGTGCAAAACAAGAACTCATCCTACTTTGTGGAGTGGATACCAAACAACGTCAAGTCGACTGTGTGTGACATTCCTCCGACTGGTCTGAAGATGGCATCCACTTTCATTGGAAACTCCACCTCCATTCAAGAAATGTTCCGCCGGGTGAGCGAGCAGTTCACTGCTATGTTCCGCAGGAAGGCTTTCTTGCATTGGTACACCGGCGAAGGCATGGACGAGATGGAGTTCACTGAGGCTGAGAGTAACATGAACGATCTGGTCTCCGAGTACCAGCAGTACCAGGATGCGACAGCTGATGAGGAGGGTTATGAATATGAGGACGAGGAAGAAATTCAGGAAGAAGCGTAGAGTGCTTTTCCTATAGCAAGTCTCTAAAATCTCATATTTTGTGTGGATTTTGTTTACCTTTTTCCTGAATGGCTTATTTGGGCGTTTGAATTGTGGCACTGGGGATGAATATGTCCTGCAGTTGGTTTTACCTTTGTGCTGTCTTAACTAGTTAGTGAATTTGCTGTAATGAGACCTAAATTTTCCGTTATGTTTGTGGCCATTGTGAAGCGATGCTTTGCTTATTTTGAGGAAAGTGTTGATGGCATTTTGTTTCTCAATTTTGTACGTGCAGTGTGTTCAGCCAACAACATTTCGACCTATCTTATGAAGTACTATTGGAGTGTGCTTTCTTTCCAAATTTATGTATGTTAACTAAAATCGTAACTCGAAGCAAAGAGCCTAGCAACATGAGAAAGAACTAGCTCTGTAAGTTCTTCGGCAATTGATAAATTTCTTCTTTCCTCTTCCTAAAATCACGATTTTCGGTAATATCGTACCGTCAAAATGCCCTAAATCAATGAGCTCATCTACAGGCCGCTTTGTTGGTGCCATCCTTAGATCATAGAGTTTTGAGTAAAGTGAATAGGCGAATCGAGATAAATGGTGAATAGGCGCACGACCACGCTGAGGTCGAGCCTTGCCGTGTTCTTTCAGTTTGTGCATCCAAACAGCGGTACGAAAAAAGGTTAAGAATAGCTACATTTTCAAATGGCAAATGAAGAAGAACTCAGTTTTATGATCTTCTTGTCACTCTAATGGATTAAAGTCGCGGCGGTTTTGACATTCTTAATGAGCACTTATTGTCCGTCTTCATTAATGAAATTGAAAACCTCTTTGTAGAAACTCTCCATAATTCCTGTCTTCACGTTATGCTGCAAGAGCACAAATAGTCCGCAATCCCCAGGTGAGCTGTGGATCTTTGAAGAGCACGGAAAAGTATCACGTGAAGAGGCTAAACCAGAGACTGGTATTGATTCTGCACTTCTCTTAGGGAAAGTAGAAACCAAAAGTACGTCATGCACATTGTTTGGACGATGTTATCATACCTCTATCAACTAATCTTTTCACTTGGCCGCACTCCGGCAAAATTAAGAATTCGTATCACCCGTATCGATGGAATTACGCTTACATGATGCATCAGTATAATTTGATCATTTCTAGAGAGACGAGATCCGTCAAACTCACATGTATTCTTCGTTTGTTTCCGATGGCAGAACAGAGCAATGGCTAACAAAACGGTTGCGATGCTGGTCCTCATCAGCTGCGTCCTGTCGTCGATGGCGTCGACGGCCCTTGGGTGCAGCGGCACGGAGAATTGTTTGAGGGGCCCGACGCCCTCACCAGAATTTCCCAGAAGACTTTGCATGACGGGTTGCTATAATAGGAATTGCAGGCACGCGTTTCCGAAGGACCTCTGCCTGTCCGACTGCGCGTTAGAATGTCTCCACCATGAATGACAGCTACTCCCGTCGCAGAACCAATGATGTCCGTGTGCTTTGAAACATAATAAGATGTATTCGCATCTCCCCGAAGGAAGTGCATCTCAAGTGTCATTTCGTTTTCGTATTAGCTTAAAATGTCAGTTGGTGTTGTAGTGATAGGTTTGAATTTGTCTGGTATTTCTTTCTTAGGTCGGAGAGATTAGAAGCTCTTCGGGTTAGAAAGGTTCTCTACCTAATCGGAAGCGAATGTCCTGTTGCACTGTGAATCAACGTGTTGCACTCCATTTCAGATTAAACAAAGAAATGCCTTTTCTTCTTTGATACCTAATTGATCTGCTTATGAAACTTTTGGCTTCTGAGTGTGTTTTTCTGAGATGGCCAAACTCTTCTCCATGTGCGAGGATTGAGCGATCCAAGCATGTATGTGATTAATGACAACATATCAAAAGGTGGAAAGATCATTTTTGTCGGGGGGACGATGTTGTTACGATCAGTAGCAATCATTAGATGTGTTCTTTCACTTATACGGTGCAATGTCGATATCTATGATAGTTTTCTTCGATTAGATTAAATCCGCCTTTTTGGTCAGGTCAAAGATAAATTGTCCACATCATGTCAAATGTCGTCATTAAAATCTGTCCTGCTAATTCGTAATGCTATAGGTTAATTGTTCACTCCAAGGAATTGATTGGCTTTATGAGTGTTTGGTTCGATATAATATATTTCATGTTCCATCATGTTTTATATTGAGGGTCACGTCTACTATCCTACCGATCGAATTTTACTCTAGACATATGGACAGTACGATTGCATACTGGGTACTAATCGAACTGAAAATTCCTAAGAGTTTTAAGAAAATGTAATTGCACAAATAGCACTTCTATTTAGCAAATAGTTGAGCTCTAAATCTGTATGGCAAAAAGGAAAGAAAAAAGAAAAACCTCTCACCTTTGTTTGCTCGACTACAGTGTTAATGGAAAGAAGACTGGACTGATGTTCTAGAATTGGGTGGGCCAGGCTAATTGAGAGCACTATGGGCTTGGATCTTGGATGAAGTTTGGGCTCAAGTGGGGAATCACCTTCTCGTTCTGGGACAATGAGAGTGATTGTCCGCCTCAGCCGCTCGTTATCTAGTTTCGGTGTTTGAATCTCACGGACCTGACCATCCAGATGACTCTAAATTGAATAAACAACAAATATACATTTGGTTTCATGAGTTCATAAAAGGACTTGAGATTCTCTACAATGCAGAAGCTAAATTTAAGAAGGAAATTACGTCAAACAAATAGAAATGCACGAATTTCAGTTACTTCTAGAAAATGGTGAAGTCTCTTAACACTTTTTTTTAGCACCTCTTACCTGTCATTTCTTTGAGATCGTGCTTGTTGCGACATAAAATTAAATTTAAAACTTGCATTAGATATTTCGCATCTTGCTTTAACTAATAAACTTGTTTTGATGCATCTAAAAGATTGAACCGTAGAGCACACGTTCGTTATAACATTGCTCAAGCTTTCGTTTCTCAGCGATTAAGTTTTCCCAAGAATTGAAAGACTCGTTTGATATTTCTTCCGTGTCTTGCAATATCATATTCTTAACCTCGAGCTTCTTCTCCGAGTATAATTCATCATCCAATTCCTGGTCCTTATGAGATTCATATCGGCAAAAGGACACTATAAGTGTCATAACTTGTGTACGGAGATCACTTTGGTGCTATAACTTTTTTTCGGATCACTTTGGTGCCAAGTCGGAGGAAAACGATCACTTAAGTGTCATAAGTTTTTTTGGATCACTCGGTGCTAAAATTTTTGAAAAACGATCACTTAAGTGCTAAAATTTTTAAAAACGATCATTTAAGTGCTAAATTTTTTGAAAAACGATCACTTAAGTGCCAATCTCCGGCGAGCCACGTTAGCTTCAGAAATTAATAAAAAAATGCCACGTCGGATTTCGGCGAAAAATTGTGTACGACACCGGAGTTGGCACTTAAGTGATCATTTTCAAAAATTTTAGCACTTAAGTGATCGTTTTTCAAAAATTTTAGCACTAAAGTGATCCAAAAAAAAATTATGGCACCAAAGTAAGCGCCGTACACAAGTTATGGCACTTGTAGTGTTCTTTTGCCGATTCATATCCCCGATTGTCCATTTCAAACCAAGTCTTTTTGGAAGTTACATAAATCATCGGTTTTTTAGCTTCTTGCAGTTCCTCCTATATGCAAATGTGCGTGTTTTCCCCTCGAAAACTTGCCCGTGTATCTCTCGTGCATCTATCTTGAGATGAGCGGGAGATTCAGCTCTTCTTGAGCTTTTCTTCCTTTTCTTTCGAATTCCCGAGTACAACTCCTGCTTTAGAAGTTTAGTCTCCTTATCCTCCATGAGAGTGATTGTTCGCATCAGCTGCTCGTTCTCTAGTTTCAACGCCTAAATCTCACGGACCTTGATGCGAAATTTATTAGTGGTGCGTTTCTGGATCGATTGGACAGGCAGAAGTCCAAACGGAAGGCGAAACAGTGATGTGACTAGAACCGGTGGACCCGATCGACGACATCGGATATTTTTTATGAGTTAATTTAAAAAGGCAGTTTCCTAATTTTGATGTTTTACGCTTTCCAATTTAGATTAGGTAACTTTCCTATTATGATTAGGTTTCCAATTCAGATTGGATAACTTTCCTATTATGATTAGGTTTTCAATTTAGATTAGGTAACTTTCCTATTATGATTAGGTTTCCTATTGTAATTAGGTTTAACCCCTATAAAAGGGTGTTTAGGGTTGTTTTGAAGACAGAACATTCTTATCATCAATATTGAATTTCGAGATTTTTTCTCTCTAAGCAAGGCTTTGCTTGAATTATTCGCGGAACGCTGCGTCAGGTGGTATCAAAGCCTATGGCGACTGGCGGTGGTCTTCGTGACGATGCTCGAGACTGGAGCCCCAACCCTGGGGACGACGCGCCGCAACGCTTTGGAGCAAAGGCGCTTTAATGGAACGCTTGGATCAACGATTCGATCAAAGTCTTTGTCGTTTCGAAGAACGATTTGACGAGTTAACAGAACAATTCGAAGGTCTCGGCGTTGATGTGAACCAAAATCGGCGGAACGACAGAAGGCCGGGTGCAGATCTTGCTCGCGGTGATCCTGTTGATAGGCCTGTTCCTGTCCGCAGGCAGTTCAACCCTTTGTTTTCAGAGAGTTCGGAAGAAGAAGAAACTGAAAATTTTGATGAGAAACGTGCTGATTATGGCGGCAGACGTCGTCATGGAGGATTTCAAAGAGGATATGATCGGAGAGATGGAAGACGACGCTATGACGATCGTGAAGGTAACGATTTTAAATTGAAAGTCGATATCCCTTATTTTAATGGTAGTCTGGGCATAGAAGAATTTCTGGATTGGCTTGCTGATATAGATAGATTTTTCGACTATATGGAGATCCCTGGTGAGAAAAGGGTGCGGTTAGTAGCTTGTAGATTAAAGGGCGGTGCGTCTGCATGGTGGGAGAGATTACAGAATAGGAGGGAACGAGAAGGGAAAGAGAGAGTTCGAACTTGGACTAGGATGAGGAGGTCTGCTGAAGCAAGAATTCCTTCCACCCGACTATGAGCAGATTATGTTCCAGCAATACCAACGTTGCCAGCAGGGCAATCGGACTGTGCATGAGTATACGGCCGAATTTATGAGATTGGTGGAGCGGAATAATTTATCAGAGACGGAGGGACAGCAAGTGGCCCGATATCTCGATGGTTTGAAACCCTTCATTCGAGATAAAATTGGAGTGCAATTTCTACGAAATTTAACTGAAGCGAAGAATATGGCGATAAAGGCGGAATTGATGCAAGAAGACAGGGAAGAAGAGGCTACGAAAATTATCGAGGTAGCAGCTTCGAGCAGTCAGAAAAGAGCAATTCCAATAATCGCTTAACGTAGGGCGAAATCAAGAAGATAAGGCGGTAGAAAACGCTCTATGAACGAGCCGAGGGATAAGGGAACGCAAGCACAGAAAACTGCGAACCCTAACCCTTATACTAAACTAGCTGTGATAAAGTGTTATAGGTGTAATCAGCCTGGGCACCGTTCTAATGAATGCCCTCAGAAAAAGACCGTAAACGTAGCAGCGAGAGAAGAGGATGAATGTGGATATTGCTGTGCGCCGGATGGTGAGGACGATGATTTTGAAGATGAAGAAGAGGAGCAAGTAAACTGTGCGGTGCGTAGAATGATGTTGGCCCCAAAACAAGAAGATGATTCGCAGCGCTATTAGTTATTCCGAACCAGGTGCACCATTCTGGGAAAGATCTTTGTTGTGGTTATTGATAGTGGAAGTATGCAGAATATCATTGGGAAGGAGGTAGTGAGAATGATGTTGGCCCCAAAACAAGAAGATGATTCGCAGCGCCATCAGTTATTCCGAACCAGGTGCACCATTCTGGGAAAGATCTTTGCTGTGGTTATTGATAGTGGAAGTATGGAGAATATCATTGGGAAGGAGGTAGTGAGGAAGCTGGGGATACCCGTGGAGAAGCATCCTAATCCCTATACGTTAGGATGGATTAAATCTGGAGCGGAAAGTATTCATGTGACTGAACGATGCAAAATTCCATTCTCTATCGGTAAATATCATGATGAGCTGTATTGTGATGTAGTAGACATGGATGTATGCCATGTGTTATTTGGGAGATCGTGGCAATTTGACGTAGATGCTCAGCATTCGGGAATAAGTAATCAGATAACCTCGTGAAGGATGGAGTGAAGTATACGTATCGCTTATCGAAGAACAAAGGAAAACAATCACTGAAAATAATTTGCTTACCCTTACGAGGAAATTTGAAGCCGAGGTTAAGGAGACTCATGTATTCACGTGCCGGGTCGTGAAACAAACAATTGAGACCGAGGCTGAATTACAAGTGGAGGAGCAGCCCGAATCGGTTAAACCTTTATTGAAGGAATTTAGCGAACCGATGCCTCGAAGAGATTCCAGATGGGTTGCCGCCTATGCGCGATATTCAAGACCATATAGACTTAATTCCCCGGTGCTAGTCTCCAAATTTACCACACTACAGGATGAGTCCAAAAGAGAGCGAGATTC